TCCCACTTGAGACCCAGGATTAAACCCGCCGCCGCGGTGGAAAGCAAGTGACTAACCGCTTCAGCTGTGGTGCTGCCAAACTTAAACATATAAAACGGAATTTATCACATGAAATACTTAATTTACCTGGTGTTCATCCTTGAGAATACAACCAGTATTAAAGCTATTTTCAATTTCGTTCTTCAGTGACATCACATCCTTTTCACTGATTCCAACGACTCTCAGTTTCACCATGATAGTGAAGCCTTGGCCATATTTCTGCTTCAGATACTGGATACCTCCCATACACACGAACTGCCCTCCCACCATTATGGCCAGCCTGTTACACAGTGCTTCACATTCCTCCATACTGAAACACAATCCAGTGTGCACAGAAGCCTGATAAAGAAAACCTGATAGAATGAAATTTCTCAGGGTGCATGCATAAACAAGCATGCTGCGGAGAAGGGGGGGGGGAGTATTCAGTTTCTGGATTTATCTCAGTTTATGCTCAACTGCTGGTAACAGAAGACTTAGTACTCTTTAAATCTTTTCTGTAATTGCCAATAAAAGTAGTTCATTTTAAATCAAGACCATCAGTTTTTATCTGTTGCATTTTTTCTATATAAAGAAAACAAAATAATTTAAATAAAATATATATGATTATTCATATAAAGAATTGGTTTAATCTTCTCATTATTTTCACAGATAATCATATCCATATTTTTGACACCTAGAAATTTTATTTAAGTTCGTGTCAGATATTATTCACTAACGAAGCTGATAAAGTGTATACTAAAGCCGGTGTGAACATAGATTTTGGATTTATTTTTATTGTTGGATGTGTACTTATAACTTAACTGCTATTAAGTAACTAACTGAGTCAGCTAAGTAGCTCAGCTGATAACTACTAGTTCAGCTATCTATGTTTCTGCTCCAGTCATTCTTCAAATTCAAATTCAAATTCAAATACCTCCGCTGGGGAGGTAGGGGTCCTTCGTTGCGCAACATGTCACAATACTTTCAAATATGGCGCTGCTTCTTATCATAAGTGAGCTTATAACATCATAACTCCAGAGCATTTAATTTCACCACTGAAGGAAAATAAAAGTTAACAGTGGGTGTTACTGGATTCCTACTATTAGTTGGAAGTAAAACAGAAATGCAATTTATGTGATTTACTGTTTTATAGTACATGGTTCTTACCACAAATTAGCATATTTAAAGACAATTCACTAAAGCAGCATAACAATGAATTTCAGTCCTCATGACAAATTATGTTTCCAGCCAATTAACTGTTTCAATTATTATCAGAATTTCACACCAGTTAATTTTCTGTATGGCAGCTGTGTCACATGGATACGTGGATATGGAAAGAATGAACAATGAATGGGTTATTAAGTGGTCAAAATGTGGAACATTTCTGTTTGTAGTAGTAAATAAAAAATTGTTGTGTTTGTCCATATGTATGTGTATAAAGAAATAAATAAACGAAAGAAAACATCTCTAGAGGAAGAAAATGCTATAGTAAGATAACATACCTATGTGAAGTGAGCACTACAGACTGGCCAGACTTCTGGATAGATGTCAAGACAGTCCACAGGTTCCTCCTGGCCACAGGATCAACTCCACTTGTTGGTTCATCCAAGAAAATTATAGGAGGATCCCCTATCAGAGCCATGGCTGTACTCAGCTTACGTTTATTGCCACCACTGTATGTTCCACATTTCCGGTTCTCATACTGCTGAAGTCCTATCCAGAATTATTATTAACTTGTTAATAAATGTACTTCATTATAGATGAGACCCATATTAATCTGACAATAGAATTTTGAAGTTCAACACTATTACCACCAAATCTTGCCATTTGACATGATCTTGAACCAGTCCCATCCCATCATTTAGCTTAATGTTGTCAACTCATTTCCATTTTCTTCCACTTTCCAAAAGGTTCCTCCACCAAAATTTTGTATGTATTCCATGTATTGCACTTCCTAGGTATATTGCAGTCTTTTAGATTTTACTATTCTAATTCTTTAGGTGACCTATATAAATCATGAAGCTCCTTTTATACTGTTTCGTAAACTGCCCACTTACTTCATCCCTCTTTGATCTATACACTTTTTATTTTTGACCTGTTTCTTTGCTAACCTGTATAGACAAGACTCAGTAAAGTAAAATTAGTTCTTGAAACAGCAGGCAGGACTCTTTGTCGAGTTGATGTCAGTAAACAGTTTAATATGTAGTTAGCTTAATTTAATCAAAATAGTGATTTAATTCAATACTTAACTGAATCTGTGTCACTGTCACATGTAGATTGTCAGAAAAGTGGCACAAGTTAAACAAATTTTTATATTTAAATATCCCATCACAACTTGTCATTAAGAAATGTTAATGCAATGGTGTATTAACAATGTTACTTACGGTTCATATTCTTTTGTAATCTTTGCTTAAATTTCAAAGAGCAACTTTGGATGTGAAAACATTTTATTTCAAACACATAAAAGAAGAGACATAAATCATGTCTGACACAGTTAATTTCTTTAGTTTAAACAAAAGGTGGAAGGTGTACTCTTGTAGTGCACATATTTATAAATTTGTTCTCTGCTATTCCAGTACATACCTCACTGCACTTAAGTTTAATTAATTTCCAATACAAACCTGTTGTTGAAAGGTTAATGACAACAGATATAAGTGTAAAGACTCACAAATTATTTTTTGTTACAACATTCACCATATCAGAAATATCTAAAAAGAAAATCATGGGTCTTAATGAGATCTACACTTACATCATATGCCAATTTTCTATATATTTGGCCATTTTTTAAAAATTTTATGAAGTTGAGTTTGAGAATCATATAAATTAGTGATTATAACTGTACGTGGGGTGTTCATGTTCTAAGGTCTTCGATATTTTCTCAGGACTGGGAGCAGATAGACACATGCGGTTTAGTTTAAAATACGTGTGCACTCTTTGTGAATGCGTGACAGAGATAGCAGAACTGTACGGCACACAGAACTCTAGTGGTGGCGGCAAGTGTGAGGAGTGTTTTTGATACCTAAAATGGCGATGTTTTCATTACAAGAACAGCGAGTAATCATTCTTTTTCTCCACTTGTGTGGTGCGACAGACATTGAAATTCATCATCAGTTGAGTGAGACATGTGATGAGGGTGTCATGAATGTGAAAAATGTGCGTTCGTGGGTGCGACAGTTCAAAGAAGGCCGAACGTCGTGTGACAACGAACCAAAACAATCTCGGCCTCGCACCAGCCGGTCTGACATGGTCAAATGAGTTGAGAAAGTTGTTTTGGAGGATCGCCTCCAAAGTTGGCATTTCCATGGGATCTGTGCACACAATCCTGCATGAAGACCTGAGAATGCGGAAAGTGTCCTCTAGGTGGGTGCCACGAATGCTGGCGGACGACCACAAGGCTGCGCGCATGGCAGTTTGCCAGGCGATGTTGACACGTGATGAAGGCATGAACGGGACTTTGTTTTCATCAATTGTGACAATGGATGAGACATGGATGCCGTTTTTCAATCCTGAAACGAAGTGCCAGTCAGCTCAATGGAAGCACACAGACTCATCACCACCAAAAAAATTTTGGGTAAGTGCCAGTGCTGAAAAAATGATGGTGGCCATGTTTTGGGACAGTGATGGCATAATCCTTACTCATTGCGTTCCAAAGGGCACTACGGTGACAGGTGCATCCTACCAAGATGTTTTGAAGAACAAGCTCCTTCCAGCACTAAGAGAAAAATGGCCGGAAAAGGCTGCATGTGTGCTCTTTCACCAGGACAATGCACCAGCGCATTGGGCGTCCATGACGCAGCAGTTTCTTCGTGAAAACAACCTTGAAGTGGTTCTTCATGCTCCCTACTCACCTAACCTGGCTCCTAGCGATTTTTGGCTTTTCCCAATTATGAAAGACACTCTCCGTGGTCGCACATTCACCAGTCGTGCCGCTATTGCATAAGCGATTTTCCAGTGGTCAAAACAGACTCCTACAGAAGCGTTTGCAGCGGCCATGGAATCATGGCATCGACGTTGTGAAAAATGTGTGTGGCTGCAGGGAGATTACGCTGAAATGTGACAGAAATTTCAAATTGTTTGTATGATTATTGTGTGAGAAAAAAATTGGAGACCTTAGAACTTGAACGCACCACATACATACCAGTACTAAGTTTGCCAGATAACTTCTAGGGGAGACTCTCAATATGAAATGTAGTCAGAATCTGTACAGTAGTTTCAGAGGTGAAATGAGCAAGATGACAGATGGAGAGATACGGCATCCTTTTCGTGTAGTCATTATGCGCACTTTGTGCATAGAATACATAAAAATATACCACCTAGGAGAGTTAGGATAAATATGGATTCAGCATTGAGAATTATGTAAATAAAAGGCTTACTTGATTACAGACATCTTTACTTGAAAATAAGTGAAGTACTTCAAGTTTCCTCATATAACTGGTAATTTAGTACTGCCAGTAAACAGGGGGTGTCTCTTCTATGAAAAAACCTGAGTGCAGTCTGTCAGAGGGAATTTGACTAGGCAAGTACACTGAAATTGATATTCCACATTTAGAATATCTCTATTATAGTCAGGAGGTTCTTCAATAGAATTTTGCTCCAATCCACCTATCTTGAATTAGGGTTTTCTTCAGTTCTTCCAAGTAAATGTGGAACATTGTCTTAAAATAGGTTATGATTGCTTCCTTCCACATCATTTCAATTCGTGTATATAACCATACTCCCACTTCATGCTATATCACTTATTTATTTGATAAAGCATTGTTAAATAAACTAAGAAACAAGCACTGCTGTTGTATGTGTCTATTCACTGCTGCTTGAATACAGTTTTGCAACTCACCCATCAATGAGAGCCATTTGTTGACTTCATTATCAACATTAGCCCGTGATACTCCACGAAGACTGGCAAAGAGTTGCAACATTTCACGCCCTGTCAGAGTTTCATTGATGGCATCAAACTGTGGGCAGTAGCCAATCTGTGCCAGGAACTGTAAAACATTATGTACTTTAATTTCATGAATGTTGAAAAAATAGATGCTGCCTCAGGATATGTTAGATTAATTATTCAGAATTCCTACCTTATGTTTTTCATTCCCAAGTCTGTATTGAGTAATTACTGCATCTCCACTGGAAGGAATTTCATCTCCAGTAAGCATTCTGAATGTCGTGGTCTTGCCTGCACCATTGATGCCAAGCAGCCCAAAACACTCACCAGGGGCCACACCAAAACTAATATCTTTTACTGCTACAAAGCTTGACTTAAACTTCTTTATCAGATTATGGACCAGCATGATGTCATCATCAGCACTGCTCTGCTGAAGAGCGGCTGCTGTAAATAAGAAACCAGCCTACACACCTATATTGTAACTAAATTGCAAAGGTGGTCTCAGACAACAGCCTGAGGGAAATCACTAACACTATCCTTCTCTCTATTGGGAGTTCACAGCATTGCTTAAATATCAGTATGTATGCTAAATAAATTCTGCCTTTATGATGCATGAAAAAAGATATTTCCACATGAACAAAATGTTCACAGAAGCCGTGAATTGCAATCTTGCTGAAAGGCACTATTTTAAAATTTCATGTATCTGACTTGTGAATACAATATTCATGAGCTGTACCTTTTTCCCAGTAGAGAAAAACTCAAATAAAATGTCCTCGTACAGATTTCATTACTTCTTGCTTTCATCATATGAAAAAACTAGATCAATAGAATATTTTAACTACTACAAAGAAATGAATCTACTTCACATTTGGTGGTGGTGGTGGTGGTGGTGGTGGGGGAGTAATTTCCACTTTATAAACCTAAAAGATGATATGGCTACTTAGCATAACCGTTTTTGTGTTTTCCATAAAGTTGTAAGAAATCATCATCATTAATTAATTAATATTTAAGTTTCCTGAATTTAGCTAGCCAATCTGTGCAATTTATATCTAATTTCATGAATTTAAATTTCATAGTAAGGGATTACTAATTCCATAAGAATTGCAAATGANGCTGTTAATCTATTGTGCATCCCCCTTTAATATTCTACCAGTCGCCATGCCCTTCCAGTACTGGTGCTTGCTATCAGCCCTGTTCTGCCAGCGAGGTAGGTCCTCTGGCAGTGGTCCCTGATACTTCCCCATCTACCGAAGGAATTGGAAACTACTTGGGCGGGAAACTTTGCCTAATTTTGCTCAGAGGTCTCCTAGAGACATGAGAATGTTTTACGTGCCGTAAATCTACAACACGGGACACATGGCTTAAAGTCCCTCCCGGAGGACTTGTTCCCTGAATTTTTCCGCCATTAAAAATTCCACAACCTCCGCCAGGTTTGAACCCGCATACCTTGAGGTGGGAACGTTACCCTTAGACTATGGAGGCCGCTTATACATACATACATATACATTTGTGTTTCAAAATATTCATAAATGTGCCACCGGCACCGAATATAAAACATGTCAACAAGCAAACAAAACATTGCACACTTATACATTCACAAATAAAATCATTAGCATATATAATCCATACTTTTCAAAAACACATACAATAGTTAAAAGGCAATACAAATTGCAGCAAAGTATATATAAGCACAGCCAAGGACATAGTCCTTATACCAAGGTATGTTTTTATAAAAATTATTAGAGAGGCAAACTATGTGTGACAATTTTGGTGCTTAGTGGGAAACACAAGAACAGGCGCACACTCGAACAATTTTTCTTCACTGTAAGATTTTATTGATAATATCCTTTTGTCAATGGAAAACACCAATTTCATTAAAATCCTATAATAAACTCTTTGCTGTTCTTGAAACAACAGGACACAGAAAATAAAATATATCTGGCTTAACACAGTAAAGAGCAAAATATATGAAGAATACTTCTAAGTTATGGTACTCAAGCTCAAAAAGTGTTTGCTGGGTGGAAATGAGGGGTTAAATATTATTTATGTTCTTTAATACTTTTATTGCAATTGATATGCTTGCCACAGATAAGTGGAATAGTCAATTAAAATTTAAAATAAATGTACCTCTTATTTTGCTATTGACACGTTCCTTTTCCATTAACACATCACTTTCTAGTTCCTGTACTTCAATTTCAGTTCCAAGTATCATCCTCATGAGCATACCATGCAGTTTCTTGAACACATCATGCTCTATCAACATTATCAGTCCAAAGTAAAGAACGGTGTCTATTGCCATATATAGTAGTTGTTCACCAACTGCATTTGGATTGTCGATATTTGCAAATGCTATATATGATTTGTGTATTAGAGGACAATAGCCATCTTTGCACACAGATTCTGGAATAAGAAACAAACCTCAATTACAAAACATTAAAATTTCTATAGAAATGTCGGGTTGAGAAACCTTGGTCCTTGCACTGCAACCTTCAATGATCTATTCTGCTTCCCCTTTTTTTGTTTAAGCCTTTAGCAATCCTATATTTTGAATGAAATGAAGGAATTTGTTCATGGGGGTGTCATAATAGATACCTGATTCCAAAAAAACTGACCCAGGTGGTAAAATCTTAAATAAGCTATTGCCTCACAATCACACAGGATGTGTGTGGCTGATTTATCTTTCTCTAGGCACCATTCACAAGTGGGGTCATCTGTCAGTCCCAGGTGACAGTATCCTGCCAATAGTCCTACCACCTATCCTTGCTGGTCTCTGTTTAATTTCAATAGATCTTTTGTTCTTCTGGCAGAGGGCCCTGGTATAAGTTTCTTTGCCTGTCTGAGTCCAGTTATGGATTCCCAATGGTTTTTGTGATTTCTGTTTGTCCAGGCCGACCGCTTTCTTGGCAGCTCCAACTGAGATGCCACAAGCTGGTTCAGGTCCTATGAATGGATATTCAGATCCCATTCTTGCCAACTGATGTGCTGTTTCATTACCAACAATGCCCTTATGACCTGGCACCCATGTCAGTTGAACTCTGTTATGTTTGGCCAGTTGTATGAGGGTTTAGTTTTAATGATTTCAATTTATAGGCTTGTCACTGACATATACCGTTTGAGATGCTGTGAAGCTTCAGGCGGTCTGATTAAAGAAGGCTGGATATCACAAAATATTTCATAGGAGGTAGAAATTCTATGAATTGGTCTGTTGCCTTCTGACATTATGCATAAAACTGAAAATAAAACTGATTGGCATGTAAGATAATCAATGAAGGTCACAATGCCCTACTTTATATTTAATTAACCAACTAACTTCATGGAGCATGTCCTTCTTCAGGGTCTAATAGTGGTGCAGCTAGTCAAGAAATTCCCTGCACTTTATTGGACCTGAAGTAGTGTATTTACATGAACCCACCACTGGTCTGTATCCTGAATGTCATTAATCCACACCCTCCTACTTTGTTTTCTTAAGATACATTTCAATATTATCTTCCCATCTATACCTAGGTATTAAAAGTGGCCTCTTCCAATTATGTTTTGTGACCAAAATTTTGCATGTATTTTTCAGCTTTTGCATACATGCTACATACTCCACCAATCTTAACCTTTTTGATTTGATCACCCTATTATTATTTGGTGATGATTACAGATTATGAAGATCCACATGCAATTTTTTTCAGCTTCTGTTACTTCTTCTTAGATCCAAATATTTTCCTCAACACCCTGTTTTCAAATGCTTTCAATCTATATTCTATTCATAGGGGACCACTTTATACAACATATTTAATCAGTAAATGGTTAATTCACTCAAGATATTTTGACCTTTAGGTTGTCTAATCAAATATTAGAGGAATGAAGAGACCTCCCACTATGGGGTGATGAGGAAAGACACAATTCAGCAGATGGACTAGAATACCTAAACTAGAAGACACAAACTGTAATGAAAATTGATTGCTCTGGTGTCTGCATTCAACTAAAAACTTAATGCATTAATTTTCTAATGTTTTAGGTATTAATATGTGATTATGACTTTAAATTTTTCAAAAGATTGTTAATGTAATTGTAAAACTTTTATTCTGTGAATAATTCGCTTGGACATCTCAAAAAATGCTTAAAGATAGAAACATTGTGTGTGAATTAATTATTTATTGATTAAATTACATGTTGTATCATATGGTGCTTTCCAAATGGAACACACGAACAATACAGAGATAATAATAATGACATCTGTAAAACCTTCAATATATGGTTCTTCCTTTAATGTGAGAGGTCAAGTTTCACACCCACAAAAAAAACATTTTAAATTAATTACAGTGCTATACTTTTTACCTTTTTTTTTTCCTTGGCACTACAGCCCCAGTGGGCCTAGGCCTACCTCCATGAACTTCTCCGTTTTTTACCTATATACAACTGAAATTAACATGTCAATTTGTTTCAGTTGCTTTTTTTGTGTTTTATTCCAGGAAGTTATCAGCTATATTGCCTTGTCTACAAATATGCAAGTTTCAAAATTTATATTCTCATCTATATTTGTGAAGTTATTTAACAGCAATGGTAGCTTGTGAAGGGGCTCATGTGTTTCTGTATATGTATTAAATGAAGCTAGTAAATTACTTAATATAATCTAAATTGCTAACTTGCTTGATTCATACATAATTTTATCTTTATGTAAGTACTTTTTATATGAGCTACACACTCACTATTCATCTGTGATTTATTTTCCTTTATCTACCATTAACCATTTTTATTACTATGAAAATGACACGGATGGAATGACCTATAAAAAAGTGTGTATGGAAAAAGTTATTGATAGTTTACTTATTCACAATATAGAAAACATTTTTTCATTGTTATTTTTAATGACAAGTTAAATAATTTGAGCTTAAAGAATTTATAAATCACCTTTACCATTTTTACACTATTAGTGTCATTCATAAAAACAAAAACAAGATAACTGTGAAATGCCATTTATACAGTTATTTATTATGGATGCAAACAATGAGATACCTTTGTGGGGTTTCTGTCGTTACTTCAATGACAACCCACTTCTTCGGAACAGTTTGTAGGTCCTGAAAAGGACCGTTGGTTGCTGAGATGCTTGGCCGGCGAAGTAGCGCGGCGCGCGCCAGTAGGAAGGGATATTGGTTGCAGTGTGTTCAGGCGGCTGAGTCAGTTGACTGGCCGCAGTGTGGCCGTCGCTTGATCGCAGTGCGGCAGATGGTGGAGGTTGCTTGATCACATCGCGGCAGCTGCTGGTGAAAGTCTGGTCGTCGAGCGCGGTCACTGGAGTGGAGACGCGGTACCTATGCCAGTTGCCCAGTGTGTCGGACATGACTACCAGTGAATCGAGGCGGCTGAGTTGCCCAGTGAGTTGGGTGTGACCGCCGGACAGCCGTGGCAGTCATGCCTGGCGCAGCGAAGCGCCGATGCCTCCGAAGACTGAGCGCTGGCGATGAAGTGTGCTGATTGCTTGTAGACTGCTAGAAGACTGCTGATCGTAGACTGACTGACTTGCGAGCGTTGTGCTCCGCCTTTTATACAATGCGTGGCGAAAATTTGCTAAGCGCTGATTGGCTAGCGCGTGTAATAATGTGGATGCGAGCTAGCAGCAAGCGCTGTATAAATGTGTACATTGGATGCAATTTGATTGGTTAGCGTGCGTGCTGGTGCTGTGATAATATGTGGGATGTTCCCACACCTTATAACATGGAATGGGATTCAGAATTACTGGGTTTTTGGACTATGTCTTCTAAGAACTAAAATACAATGCTTCAGAAACTGGATCTGTTTCTGTTCTTGGGTGGGGGGGAAGACATGTACTCTGTTGGGTCCCTTTGAAAGAGCTAACCTCAATCACTGGGCGACCCATATCAGAGTTACTTTATGACTTTATCACAATTTTAATTGCATTTTTATTTTCATGTTATCTCCTTTCAACATAGCCTGGTCTCAGATTTTTAATATCTGTAGTAAATTTGATGTGGGTTATCCACTGATTGAGGTTAGTTCTTCCTACAAGACCCAACAGAGTAATGTCTCCCCCCCCCTGACCCAAGGACAGAAACAGATGCAGTTTCTGAAACGTTTGTTTTTCTTGTTTTTATAACACTGGACAATGGACAAAGTTTGAGTAGTAGTTCTGAGTGTTATACACCATGATCAGAACAGTTTAGAATCTATATGAAATTTGGTGTCAATTAAAATTACCATTCATAACTTCAAGCATTTCAGTCAACACAAGTGGATGTGGTAATGCAGACTTACCGCAGCAAATGTCATTTTGAGGGCAGGATATTTGCTCAATTTTGCATCTATTATTTTTGAGGACGAGGTCTGAGAAGCGCATGAACCCAAATGTGATGGAGAAATGAGGAATAAATTGCAGAACATATTTTAGACCATTTGCAGCACTTTCGTAGTCTTTTGACTGTAGCATAATGTATACCGTCAAACTCAGTATCATTCCTATAAAAAAGAGGCAGAAATTAGAAAAGTACAGGACAACAGGCATGTTATCACTATGTGCATATGCAATTATTCACATAAGAACATTCCTGCTCGAGAGAAGCAGACAGAGCAAATAACAGATATTACTGTACCACAACATGAGTTATGTTTTATGGCAGCCAGTCTGAAGCTTCTAAGTGCTAAGAGCTGAGAATATATGAAGCTTTCTCCCCATACTTTGTACATGTAGTGCTTGGGACAAATGTAGTTTAAAGCTTCCTTATTAATACACTTATATATCTGCACTAGACCACCTCTGTGGTCTAGTGGTCAGAATTCCTGGCTACAGATCCAGAAGTCTGGGTTAGATTCCCGGCACTACCAGATTTTCTGAGAAATAGTGCGTCTGGAATGGGGCTCACTCAGCCTTGTGAGGATAACTGAGGAGCTATTTCAAGGAAATAGTGGATCCGGTGTAGAAAACCAAAATAAATGGCCCTGGGGATTCGTTGCATTGACCACGTGACACCCTCTATCCGCTAAATTGAATTGAATTGAATTTATTTACATTCTATAAATCCTAAGCAGGTTAGTACCTTTGGATACAGAACAAGTCAAAAGGTTACATACATAAGTACAGGCAATTTTAGCTTAAAAATTAATATAACTTAATTTTACATCATTCTCTATTTACATTGAAGTATTCATCTAAAGAGTAGAAGGAATGAGCATGTAGATAATTCTTTAACTCTGATTTAAACTTTTTAGTATCATTGCCCAAGTTTTTAATACTTTGTGGCAGATTGTTGAACACTTTTATGCCAGTAAAGTAGACTCCTTTTTGATATACTGATAAAGTTGATGAGGGTAGGTGGAAGTTATATTTTTGTCTAGTATTCATGTTATAGACATCAGAATTTAATTTGAATTTATCTTTGTTGTAAACAACAAATAAGAGAAGCGATAATATGTATTGCGATTGAAGAGGTAGAATTTTTAATTTCTTAAATAATTCTCTACATGAATCTCTACTTCTACATCCTGTAATGATTCTAATTATATTCTTTTGTATTTTAAAAATTATTACACTATGTGAAGAGTTCCCCCAAAATATTAATCCATAGTTCATAATAGAATGAAAGTAGGCATGGTAAACCATCTTCAATGTTTCCTGTGACATAAAAGGCTTAATTGATCTCATCGCATAGCAAGCTGCATTTAATTTAGGTATAATTTGTTCAATATGTATTTTCCAAGACAGTGTACTGTCTACATGTATTCCAAGGAATTTTGTATCAAGTACTTTACAGATTAATTTGTTGGCATAACTGATGTCCAGATCAATTTGGTGGTTGTTTTTAGTTGTGAATGATATGTAATGGGTTTTATCAAAATTTAATGAGAGTAAATTGGCTTCGAACCATCTGTTTAAGGCTTCAAATACAATATTTATGTCATTTTTAAAGTTGTCAAATTTAGAGTTCTTAAATATTATACTAGTGTCATCTGCATATAGAAGTTGGCACTAACTTCACTGACAAGCAGTGGTCGCTCAGTTGGTACAGTTCGCTTGCAGACTAAAACCACTGAGTTTTTCTTTAATATATCTGCACTTGCTTCCTTTAAATTATATGTAAAATAATACATAAGGCAGTACTTACCAAGCAATATATTTGTCACTGCAAGTAGAGAAAAGGCCCCTGAACTACTTTTTCTTAAATAGCTGAATATGTATGCATACGGAATGCCACAAAATCCATACATCAGTACCATGAAGAAATACACCCCTGAAAGGAATACAGTTTTTAAATGAACAGCTATAGGTGATATACTGTGTATTCAGGTAGACTATATTGTTGCTGAAATGATGGATTTAATTTATTTATTTATGGCCTATTTAAGATCACTCCTATTAATTTAGTTTATATAATGAAGTGTGATCAGCAAAAATGAATTGGAAAGTATATGGAAGGAAGCAGTGTGGCACTAGCATAACATTTGTCTGAAGGAACTAAGGGAAACTATGTAAAGTCTTAGTCAGGATAGACAGGTCTCACTTTACAATGGAATGATTAATGATTGCGCAAAAGAGTTTGTTTCAGCCCTAAAATCCAACACTCATTTACTGTACCATTTTTATCAGTGACAGAATATTTGGAATCACATACTATGATAAGTTCTGGTATTCATCTCTTAGATATACGAGGGGGGACCCAAAAATAACTGGAACCGACTTGTTGCGCGCGCATGCTTTGTAGTTACGAGTTGTGCTGCTAGGTGGTGTTAGCTGGGGGTCTCCTGCGACTGTTAGTGAGCTGGCGTCAGTCTGAGTTAAGTGGTTTGTCTGTGGTGCTCTGTTGTGTGCGTTCCTGTTTCAACCCTTTGGCGATTAGTGAGATGGCCGACCAGAAGGAACAAAGAGTGTGCGTGAAATTTTGCTTTCTGTTAGGGAAAACTGCAGC